TTCTTGTGAAACTGAAGAAAACTTTATGGAAGATACTTAGCATCCAAATAGTTTAAAGTCTTCTTCATTTTTCACTTGTGGAAACACTTTATGCTTTCTCAACCAAATATACTCAAAGAATCTATAGCATATTTTGTAATCTATAAGCATTCTAATTTAAATTTTCAACCCAATGATTGCACCTGTTGCAGAAGATGAACATTTTTAACTAAAATAAAATTGATTTAAAAATATGATTGTGGGGCTGCTATAGAACAAGAGCATCTATCCAACATATATGTTGAAAATGAATTAAATACAACTCAGTTGTAAGATGACATAATAATAATAACTTTTGTTAGTAAAAAAGAAAAAATGAGTGTTTTCAATATCAATTTCAAAGAACCTGTTTATTCCTCCTTTTCACTGAATGTGTTCCACAAGTGTTTTATTTAACTTAGATGTTATATAATCCAAATTAGATCTAGACTTTCTTGAAAATTAATGTAAAGTTAAAAATAAAAACAATAAGTCTTTAACTTGTATAATTTTAAACGCTTTTAATTTAAAAATGTGCATGCTTATAGAGGGTGCTACGCCCCGGGTGTCATGAAAGCTCTTGACGGCCCTGATATTAGTAATAAATGTTTAATGCATGTTTGAACTTGATTGCATCCGTTACTGTCATTGTCAGCCATGGTATTATTAATTAGTTTTTGTGACAACCAACTTGTATTACTTTGCACATCTCGACATTTAACTTCACAAAACATCTGTGCGACTGTTTTACAGCGTTGTCGATGTCCGCTTGCAGTTTTTCATAAATTGAGGAAAATTGATTGACATCAATAACTCATACAATCTTGCCATCATCGACATTTAACTTGGTATGGTTATAAATGCAGTCTGGTAAGTCTTTGATGAATGACATAAATAGCAGTAATGCAAGAACTCATCCTCTTGTCACCTTTTCCACTCGGACGTCTATTAGCTAACCAGTGATCCAGTTTAACAGCTGGTTTCAAATGCCATAGACATAAATCTTGTGAAAAAGCTATTGTGTGACACTGTGTTGCATGTTTTGGGAATGTTGGTAAAAGTTATGTTAACCAGGTATTCACATCAAATTGCTTCCGTTAAAATGTTTCGGGATTTAATCATGTTTGTAAGCGGCCATTGCGATGTACAAACCCATGTTGAGACTTTGATAATTGACTGTGCACCGTGTTTTATGATCTTATCTATAATAATTCTCTTCACCACCTAGCACGATATAGGTGAGAGACACTGGCTTGTAGTTATAAACCTTGAATTTGTTTCCTTTTTTGAGGGTAGGTGTGATCTTTGACTTACTTTGAGGTTTTAACGCACCCTAGGGAGTCGTTAAATCTTACCAAATAAAGTTAATTTAGTTTTTTTTTATTTTGCTATTTAAAATCGTGATTAAATTTTCTTTCAGAATAATAATAAAAAGTATTTATGAGATATATTTATTTTTTTCTGAAATAAACGGACTAAGTTTATTTTTAACAATAAAATGCTTTTCGGATAAGAAAAACATTTTATTGTTAAAAATATCGTTAAACATTTTATTGTTAAATATATATATATATATATATATATGTATATATATATATATATATATATATATATATATAACAAGTTTTTTTTATTGTCTACTTCAATATCGTCTATAGAGGTACTAGGTAAAATGCGAACTGCGAATCGCGAACTGCGAACCGGTAAAATGCGAACTTTTTTGCGAACCACCGTCCTATTGGTTGTTAATGATGTAATGTTTATTTCCGTTAAATAATTCATTTAACGGTATATTTTAAGGACTTTTAAGCGAAAAAATTAATTAAAAATAAATAAAAGGAAACTAAGTAAAACTTAAGAAAATACAATACAATAATTTTTTTTTTGAATTATTTGATAGACTGTCTGCTCAAACCAAACCCTCAGTCGATTTAGCAGCTCTAGCAGTCAGGCTATAAGATAGTCAGATAGCAGTCAGTCTATAAGATAGTCGATGTAGCAGCATTCCGTTACGAGTCAGGCTATAAGATAGTCGATGTAGCAACACTCTACGCATGTTTTACAGTTGAAAATTAAAATTTTATTTTAAATAAAGCTGTAAAATAGATAATTAAGAATTGGAGAGTTTTTTTATTATTATTTTTATCATAACAATAATGGTCTTTAAAATATAATGTTTTGGTTCGCAAAAAAGTTCGCATTTTATTGGTTCGCAGTTCGCGTTTTACCGACAACCGTCTATAGACGATATTGAAGTAGACAATTAATATATATATATATATATATATATATATATATATATATATATATATATATATATATATATAAAACAAGTCTTTATATCTGGTTGGTTTCCACCAACCAAAGAAAATAGATCCATTATTTAAAACTCTTTGGTAATATAAATAAAGCACAGTTAATTGCTATACAAATAAACAAGTAAATTCCTTTTATTTCTAATCAACAAAAACATTTTTTTTAAATTGTTTTTTGTGATTTGTCCTCTGGCGTCCTTATTATCTTAGCGCCTCTCATTTGAAATGAACAAGCTTTTCAATATCATCGGGACAATTAAGCAAAAATAATTCATACATTTAAAATAAATATTTCATCTATTAAAGATAAAAACTCTAATCTAATTTTTACTGAGATAATTTTTAAAGAATTTGATTTTCAGTCATTAAAAACAAAATAAAGCAACTGAATATGATGATATTAACACCAATAATGTGATTGATTCTTACGATACTATAAAAGATATTCTTTACAAAATATCTTTTATAGTATCGTAATATTAGATATTCTTTATTAGGCGCAATATAACTGACTCTTTTAAAGGCTCTTGCTTTACATTAAGAGTATTTATTGATTTGTCTAAAGCATTTAATATCGTCAATCATCAAATCCTGTTAAAAAAACTAATTTCATATATATTATTAAAGATAAAATCCAGTTATAGTTTAAAAGTTTTTAATTATATCTTACTTACCGAAAGCTGTTTGTTTAGAATAAAGATTCTATTTCTTATATATTAATGAATGCAATATGTGGTGTTTCACAAGGATCTGTACTTGGTCCACTCATTTTTATAATATACATAAGCCAGCACATACGTTATTTTTTTTTTAAACTTTAATTTTTGTTTACATGTAATTTGAACAAAGTCTTGATAATTTAAGAAATGAAATTTTTAATTTTGTTACAGATAATTTTTAAGTAACTTTAATAGATAAAAAACCCTTCAAAATGCCTTCCACTGTGTGGAATTATTTATAAAACAGAAGAAATTGAAAAATATTCGAAAGTTGTTAAAATGAAAACCACTGCCATGGAAAGCTTTTTTCTAAGCACCAAAAACATCAATATATGAAATTTGAAATCTAACATTAAAAAGATCGGCACAAAAAACTTCAAAATTCAGACAAATTATCCAACGGGCAATAAATGTCCGCTGGACGTCTTAAAAATGTCATTCAGACTTGGATGTTCATAAGACATTGTATAGACGTCCTAAGCAAGAATGTGCCCGCTGAAGACTACGGATTCGTAACGTCCATAAGTCGTAGTATAGACGTCCCACGGACACTTGTGCCCGCTGGATAGTCTAGATTCGTTATATTGACAAAGACTGGATAGTCTTTGTCAATTGTCTGATAATTTGTTTAAATTAGACATTTTGTTAGAATATTGATTGATAAAATTAAAATAGTATAACTGGTGACAACTAAAAAAAGAAACTAAATTTAAAGACATATATCTCCTTAAACTCAGCAACACATAAGTAAAAAATTAAAAAAAAGAACAAATATTAAATCAAGAAAAAAAATGACGATTCCACAACGCTCCTGACTTATTTTATATTAGTGATAAAAAATCTACTCCATCTACAGTTAAATACCAAACAAAACAAAAGTTTCAAAAGAAATTGTTTCTATGGATTGCTTTTTCTGAAAATGGATTTTCTCAACCTTATTTTGTACCAAGTGGACTGGCTGTAAATCAAAAAATCTATTTAAACAAATTTATTAAGAAGAGACTTATTCCATTCATCAATAAGTATCATTCAGATGGTGCATATGTATTCTGGCCAGATTTACCATCATCTCACTATGCAAAAACAGTAATTATGTATCTAAACAAGGAAAACGTGCATTATGCTGAGAAAGTTAATAACCCTGAAAACTTGCCAGAATGTCGCCCTATCGAAAATTTTGGAATATTTTGAACTGCTTTGTCTGCAAAAATAATTAGCATGCAGAAAATCTTAAAAAATTACGTTCTAGAATCAAGTATTGCCTTAATAAAATTGATATTGAGCTCATACAAAGACTAGCTCAGTCTATACCAGACCTAGTTGATTAAGTCAGAAGAAGTAGTTTAATTGAGAATCTTTTTCTTTAAAGAGATATCTGTCTTTAAATCCAGCCTCGTTTTTTAGTTGTCACCCGTTAATGCAAAAAATAATGAACAAAAACATTTTGTTTCGAAATGAGCTTACAAAGAGCAAAACATCATTTAGAAAATATAAAACGGGAGTCTATTTCTGTTACTTCTTTAGAGATTTTTATCTTAAGGGAAAAATAGTTTGTTTATTCGACTGCTCACAGACTTTGTTGACCCAAGATTCAGTTTGAACTTTTCGACTGGAGTTTGTGGGAGTGGCAAGACTAATCTATATGTTAAACAGAAAAGTAAGACTATCAATAAATCTGTAAATACCCTGATTAAATAGTTATCATCAATTTAAGAATTCGTAAAGAAAGAAGCAAGAAGATGACAACTGTTACTATGATATTTTCTGTTGCTATGGCATTGTGCTCGAAGTAGTTGCAAACATAATCTTTCTGAAAAAAATTTATCATTTTTATAAACACTATACATACATAAATGTTTCAACCAATAGACTATTTAATTTATAAAAGATATTATCTAAATAAGGATAAGTTTAAACAAAGATAATATATCTATAGATAACAAAAATCATGCAAAATGATATAACAGGCTGTATAGGCGGCTGTAAGTGTATAGGTGTAATGCGTGAATCTGTTCTGTTCGTGTCGCAAGGTCAAATCTTTTGTTTTAATTGAACAGTATTTATCTATAAAACTACGCCAAGCCAGCCCAGTCATACTTCAGATTACCATGACGGATCTGAATCCACCTACAAAGAAAAAAAAAGAAACCCATATTGCCCAGAATAATGTAAATAATTAATCTTGGTAATTTTTACTCTTGCAACAAAAAAACGTAAAAAGTGTCAATTAAAAAACAACTACTATGTATTTTTAAAGCTTTTTTTAACTTTGTTTATTTTAGAGTAGAAAAACTTATAAGAATTAAAATATTGTTGTTCTTTATACAAGTGTTTCAATTTTCTACTCTTATCAAAATAAAATATGGATAGAGCTCTAAGACCTTCTCGCTTGGATACATTACCAAACTCACCTTCTGCAACAAAATTATTTAAACATTGGCTCAGAACATTTGAATATTATCTTGATGAACTCCCTCAAGAACTCAATAAGTTAAAAATCCTGACTAATTTTGTTTTACCCGATGTTTATTAAATAATAAGCAAATGTTCAAATTTTGAAGCATCAATACAAGCTTTACAATCGGTGTACATAAAACCATCAAATGAGGTTTATGCACGACACCTCTTGGCAACTCGTAAGCAACAGCCAAGAGAAAGTTTTGATGAGTATTTACACGCTCTTAAAATTTTAGCAAAAGAATGTAACTTTAAACAGGTGTCTGCTATTGAATATTGCGATGAATATATTAGAGATGCATTTACAACAGGGATAAACTCACAGGTTGTCAGACAGCGACTACTAGAAAACAGTACAAAAAGTCTGGATGAAATATTTTCAAAAGCTAGAACCTTGGAATCAGCGCAGAAAAATGCTGAAAATTACCTCCAGTATAATACATCAGATACAACAGTAGCTGCAATAACAAAAAAGCCAAAGCAATATAACTCAAATTTTGTTTCAAATTGCTGGAACTGTGGGAATCAAATACATGCTAAAGCTGTTTGTCCTGCTAGAGAGTCGATTTGTTTTAAATGTGAGAAAGTTGGTCATTTTGCCAAGTTATGTAAATCTTCTAAACTTACAACAGCAGGGATGAATCTTGTTGATCAACCTTTGAACTCATACAATCTTTCACTCACTTGACTAGTTTACCTTGAACATAAAACTAATTTAAAGAACATTTCTGCTTCCATTTCACCTTTGACTAAATCAACAATTGGCATGTTGGTTAATGGTTCATTTGTAAATGCTCTCATTGACAGTGGTAGCACTGATAATTTTATTCACCCTCGATTGGTACAAAAACTAAACCTAACAGTTCATAGACAAAGCCAAAAACAGGTATCTATGGCTTCATCATCTTTATCTAGTACAATTTGTGGAGTAGTTTTTGTCAATATTTCAATAAAAAATGAGCATTATAAACTAGTAAAACTTAACATCTTAAATGAGTTATGCGTGGATGTTATTCTGGGTCTCGATTTTCAAAAACAACACAAAGCTGTAACCCTTTAGTTTGAAGGGAAAAGACCCCCACTATTAATTTGTGGTTTGTCGAAGTTGAATGTATCTCCTCCTAGTTTATTTGGCAATTTATCGCCTAACTGTAAACCAATAGCTTCAAAATCTCGTCGATATAGCAAAGAAGACCAATTATTCATTGAAATGGAAGTACAACGTATGCTTAAAGAGGACATTATCAAACATTAAAATTCTCCCTGGAGAGCTCAGGTAGTTGTAACTAAAGGAGAACGCTCTAAAAAAAGATTAGTTATTGACTACAGTCAAACAATAAATAAGTATACTCAACTAGACGCTTACCCATTACCAAGGATTGATGATCTAGTAAACAAAATTGCTCAATACAAAATATTTAGCACAGTTGATTTGAAATCAACCTACCATCAAATTCCAATTACCAAAAGTGATAGAAAATTTACAGCTTTTGAAGCAAATGGGAGGTTGTTCCAATTTAAGCGAATGACTTTTGGAATTGAAAATGGCGTTGCTTGTTTTCAACGTACCGTAAACGAATTTATAGCAAAAGAAGGGCTTTTACATACTTATGCTTATCTAGATAATGCGACAATATGTGGTAAAACCCAAGAGGAGCATGATATTAATCTGGAAAAATTTCTCAAGTCACCTGAAAATATAAATCTTACTTATAACCATGATAAATGTAGCTTTTCCCAAGATAAAGTTTGCATTCTTGGTTATCTTATAGAAGAAAGAAAGCTCAAACCAGATCCCAGTCGTCTTCAACCTATGAAAGAAATGCCTCCTCCTCGTGATGCTAAATCCATGAAGCGTATCATCGGACTATTCTCATACTACTCTAAATGGATTCCAAACTTTTCCGACAACATAGCTTCTCTTACCAAAAACACCAAGTACCCATTAGATCATCAGTGTGTAAATGATTTCAATCAACTTAAACAAGACATTGCAAATGCTGTGACAGATTATGTGGACGAAAATGTTCCATTTGAAGTAGAAACGGACGCATCTGACATTGCTTTAGCTGCAGTTCTTAACTAAAATGGCCGCCCTGTAGCTTTCTTTTCAAGATTACTTCAAAAATCTGAACTCAAACATTCCTCTATTGAGAAAGAAGCTTGCGCAATAATAGAAGCAGTCAGGCATTGGAAACACTACCTTACTGGACGCCATTTTAAATTTTTTACCGATCAGCAACCTGTGTCTTATATCTTCGAAAAGCAACATAAATCAAAGATTAAAAATGATAAAATTTATCGATGGAAAATTGAACTATCGTGCTATAATTACGACATTGTTTACAGGGAAGGGAAACTAAATATTCCAGCTGACACTTTTTCTAGAATACATTGCTCAGCAATAAACACTAACAACTTAATTCAGCTTCATCAATCACTCTGTCATCCTGGCGTAACTAGGTTTTATGCTTTTATTAAAAACCGTATATTACCTTTCTTGATGATGTTAAACGAATAACTAATCAGTGCAAACTATGTTGTGAATGTAAGCCTAGATACTACAAACCACTAAAATCTAATTTGATAAAGGCGACACAACCACTGGAACGTTTGAACTTAGATTTTAAAGGACCTCTTCCTTCAGAAACTAATAACAAGTATTTTTTAACCATAATTGATGAGTATTCTCGTTTTCCTTTTGCAATCCCGTGCCCTGATATTTCAACTCAGACTGTAATTAAGTGTTTGTCACAAGTATTCTCGGTTTTTGGTTTGCCAAGTTACATCCATTCCGATAGAGGTTCAGCCTTCATTAGTAAAGAATTAAAACAATACTTACTAGAGAAAGGTATTGCGACAAGTCATACTACAGCATATAATCTACAAGGGAATGGATGAGCCGAAAAGTATAATGGAACCATAATGAAGTCTATTGAGATTGCTACTAGACAACACAATTTACCCATCAAAGCTTGGGAAAAAGTATTGCCAGACGTTCTCCATTCTATAAGTTCCTTTGTAAATACTAAAACAATGGAGACACCTCATGAAAGAATGTAAAACAACCTCTGGATGCACTTTAACTTCATGATTAAGTCATCCTGGACCAATAATAATGAAAAGATATTTACGTAATAATAAGTATGAACCACTGGTAGACGAAGTGCAACTCATAGATGCTAATCCTCAATATGCTCACATAAAGTATTCAGATGGAAGAGAAACCACAGTTTCCCTAAGACACTTAGCTCCAACAAGTTCTGCTCCGATCATTGATCAAACAAATCATATTGAACCTTCACCAGAGAATGCCTTTAATAATATTGAACCTTCACCTGAGAATGCTTTTAATAAACCTTCTTACCCCTATAAACCATTAACACCTGAGAAATATGGACTTACCAATACCAATCTTGAAAACTTTCCTAACCAGCCTCCCCTTTATCAACCTCCACTAGCTGAAAATCTTGTCAATGATGCTTGTCCGATCAATCCATTGTTATTAATAACACCTGAAAAAGACAAACGTAGATCCTAAAGAGTAATTCGTTGACCATTACGACTTATAGAAGAAGATACATAAAGAACCTTGCTTATATTATAGTATATTCTGTTTATATTATGGCTGCAGAGAATGTTGTTTATTTTAGAGTAGAAAAACTTATAAGAATTAAAATATTGTTGTTTTCTATACAAGTGCTTCAGGTAAGTTTCAAATAGTTATTACAAATGCTTGTACATTGTAAAAATTTAAATAACAACTTTCCCTGAAAGTTTTTAGCATTTTAACAAGTGCAAACAAGAATATGTGTGTGAATATAATAATATTATTATATATTAATAATATTATTATATTCACACACATATTCTTAATCTAATATTAATGAGTGTCATACTAAACATTTTTTTTAATTTCTTTTATAAAAATCCTTTAATATACACATACTTTTAATTAATTTTATTAATTGGCTTTTATTAAACTTATAGTCTTGTACAAATGCATTTTGCAAACGCTTACTTGTTATTATCTATTTTGACTTCGGTATGACAACAGAACAATAAAAAATTATAAGTATTAGCGACATTTTTTTTTTTTTAAGTTGATTAAGGTGCCCCAAGAAGTCTTATCACAGAGCATCGCAGAAGAGCATTTAACAGGAAGTTCACGCTTCCTTCTCAACCGATGTCGCAAAACTTGCCCAGAGGTGGGGTTTGAACCACCGTTGTTACGTTTCTGAGGCAAGTGCGCCACGGCTGCTTATTGTTGCTGCTGATGTTGTTTTAAATGTAGATTGCAAATGATTTTTTATTCTTACTCTGTTTAGATTGCATGATGACCTCGAAGAAAAAGTTTGTCTAATCCAGAACACTCAGTATTCGGCCAACCTTGTGAATTTCCAGACACTGAACACTCAGTATTTGGCCAACCGATTGCTAACAAGAGCTTTTAAGGATAAACTATATATCATACTCGCAAAAATCTTCAACCCATAGACTCTGTAGAACCATTAGTCAGAGACGTAAATAAAATAGTGGCTGATGATTTCTTAAACATATGGTCGAGGGCGGGGTTGTCAACAATTTCATATAACTGCATTCTGAAATGCTTGAATAAATTGATAACTGAAACAAAAAGATTAAGGAAATATATTGATGAAAAAAGAAATTTTTTTTACGTTTCAGTGCCATCTGAATTCTTTCGATAAAGAATTTTGATAAAGATTTGACATTTGTCCTTACAAATGTGTTAACCATGATATCAGGGACAGGTCAAGCTGCCATTGTTCAATCAAAGTTCCTCATAAGGAATGGGAATTTTGGCTCAATCAAAAGAGTAATCGTAAAATATACTCTGGCCAGACTGACCAAAAAGAGACGGAACAATTCCAAACGAAGAAAACTTGTAAATAACGGGAAATCCAGTTTGCAAAAAAAAAAACGCAAAAACATCTTTTTTTTCATGTATTTTTTTGCTTCATTTAAATGAGCAAATTTTACTGCACTTGATGGTATTACATCCGGTTCTACCGCATTCAAAGACACTATTGGTGGACAACTATCTTTTGATGTTCATTCTCTACCGATAGCTGACTATGCCAGTGTAAATGAAGTGAACATTAAAATGCTTTATGAGTCATTCATTATCTCAGTAAAAATCAAAAATGCTTACTTAAAGCATGCAATGCTTTTACCCAAGGATTTTAAAATCTGGATGTCGAAACGAATAAGTATTTCACAAATACTCCTTTCAAAAATCTCAATCATGTCTGGTGGCTTACATTTGTCAATCATTTTTTTTGGTTACACATGTCGACCGTAAAACCGACTACAAGTCTAATAAAAGTTGTTGATTTCATCATCAAAGTTTACTGCTTTTAATGGTTTTGAATTAAGAAAAATTGGAAATGCGTCAAAGAAGCACGGAGTTATTTCATGATTATAAAACGCGTTCAGAGTTCGGTTTCTCTCTATTTCCATGCTTCTTCATATTTGGAAATGATCAAATGGTTAAATGTTGATATCTCTCCTCCTTCAATTTTATCTGAAATGAACAATAGAGATCACTTCATCAAAATTACAAATGGCACTCTTCAACTCCTGATATTCCATAGCATTCTAAAAATGTTGAATATTCCATGGCATTCTAAAATGTTAGTCAAAAAAGTTTCGATTATCTATGAACCT